CCTTTAAAAATTACGAGATATGTATGATGAAAAAAAACGTAAAGAATTGTTAAAAAAATCGACCTAAATTTATAAATTATTTTTAAAAATACAAAAGAATTATGAAAAATGAGAAGAAAAAAATTGAGAAAAGATATAGTAAAAAAAAAATTGAGAAAAGACACAAATAAAGTAAAGAAATCACAAAAAGTTAGAAATAAAATAAGAAGGAATGACAAAAATAAATAAAAATTTATAATTTTTTTTAAAAAATTACGATTTTTCTTTTTTGAATGGGAATTTTCCTTTTTTGATTGACATTTTTCCTTTTTTGATTGGAGCTTATCCTCTTTTGTTTGACACTTTTTCTTTTTTGATTGAACCTTTTCCTTTTTTGGTTGAACCTTTTCCTTTTATGATTGACCCTTTTCCTTTTATGATTGACCCTTTTCCTTTTATGATTGAAACTTTTCCTTTTTTGATTGGGACTTTTCCTTTTTTGAATGTGAAACCCTGTATTTTTAATTCTGTTCTATATATAGTGTTTTATAATTATGTAATTTAACATCTAATATTATGCAATTATATTGACATCCATAATTTAATAATTAATGTAGGAAAGTTATAATAATATAATATTCAAATAATGAAACCTTTAAAATATATAACGTAACCTTTAAAATATATAAGATATTAAAATATAACAGACATCAAGCCATAGTAAGAATGAAAATTAAGGCACGAGAATATGTTTGGTAGCCCAAGATGAATAGCGAGATAGAAGTAGTGGCTAAAAGTTGTGATACATGTAACACGTGGACTAATGTACCAAGAAAAAGGAAGATAAATGGCCAGTTACAGACATTCCATGTGAGAGTACACGTAGATTTTTTTAGAATATGAGAAGAAAAGATATTTAATCATGGTAGATGTGGGTTCAAAGTGGATAGATTGTCATCATGTTGCAAGTTTATCAACAAGAGTAGCTTTAGATAAGATAAAAGATTATTGGGCAAATATGGATTAATGAAGACTTTAGTACCAGATGGAGGTCCCGCTTTTAAAGGTAAAGCATTTGATAAATTATGTGATAGTGGAAGATAAAACATGTATTTTTACCACCATATTACCAAGGAGCAATGGACAAGCTGAGCGTATGGTAGCGATAGTGAAAAGATGGTTAAAAAAAGGAAAAATATAGAGAAGGAAAATGGTGGCTATCGTTGTTGTTAGCATACAACAATACGGAGACGGCAAAAGGAATATCTCCAGCTGAAATATTTTTAGGAAGAAAAACAAGATCGGAATTAGATTTTCTAAAAGATAAAGTAATAATGAGAGAACAAATAGATATAGAGAAATTTCCAGTAGGAAGTCTAGTGTGGGTATTGTTTTTTAATGGGCCTATTAAATGGGAGAAGGGTGGAGTATAGAAAAAAAGAAAGTGGAAATAGAAAGTAAAGGACAGTTAGGTACATGACCTAGACATGCAAAACAAATGCGACCGAGGATAGAAAGTATTTAAAATGAAATTTTGGGATGAAAGCAAAAGGAGATGAAAGAGATTTTGATTATAAATAGTTAGGAGGGAGACAAGAAGAAAGGGATAAAATGATATGCATTGTAATTTCATTTTTAGATGACCACATATACAAGAGTGGGTAATTACATCGTGGGAATTGAAATAAGGACGATAGATGGATCGATGATATTACGAAACTGGCTGAGATTGTATGGAGAAATGATAAACGAGATGATAGGAAATACCTCGAAAAGAGTAGAGCGAAGGACGAGAAGTCATCCATATGATCGGCCTCGACCCAAACAGTGTTAGACATGTGGAGGAGACGATCTTATGAGATATTTTACAAGTCAAGGGATAACTATCAGTGGGGAACGAATGATATTACAAGAGGAGACACCCGGAGTATTAAATGAAGGAGAAACGCGTCAGGTCCCCTAGATAGAGGTATCAAAGGGAATGGGTGTTGCGATTGTTGATAAAATCTGAAAAATAAAGTCGAAAAAAATATATATTTATATGTAAAATTGTAAAAGACGCGATTAAATCATTAACAATATTAATTTGAATGATGGAGAATTGTTTTTGTTAAAATGTATTTAAAGAAGAAAAAAAGGATTATAAAAGTTTTTTTTAGATTTTAAATGTGAAAAAATTTACGTATTTGTTTTTTTTGTAATTTTATAGCATAAATAAAGTTAATTGTATTAAATTTGTAATTATGATTGTCGTATAACAGTTAATCCGGCATTACAATATTTACACTTAAAACAACCTGAAAACGAAAGTTTTTATATAGAAAATAAAAAAATAAAAAATGTCATTAGGGAAGTTCGCAAATTTTTTTAAAGCTTTAAACAAATTTATGTCTTTTTCCTTCATAAAAAATCAATATGGTCAAAACCAAGTCTAAAAATATATTTAAAGTCTAGACCGAATAACTCTATTAAAAATTTTCCATGGGCTAACCAGCGTCGACCTATTATCTAAATAACAATCATTTATTATAAGATATCAATTCATTTTATATGAAAATGATAAAATTTAGTAATTCCAATCTTTTTTACAATGTAAAAATAAAATTATTACCAAATAATTTCAAATATTTACTAATCGACCTAATAATGAATATTTTATTATTCTCCAAATAATCATTTTTATTATTTATTCACTTGATTTGAATCGAATAAAATAAAATCCATTACGAATGCTTACCCTGAAGGGGTTCATATAAGACTGGTAAGAGAAAGAATAAAATGAGTTATCTAGTCTCGCTGTATGCAGTTTGACCTAATTAAACCAAAAAATTTTAATTGAAAAATACAAGATAAATTTTTATAAATTTAAATATCTCTAATTCTTTGTTCGAAATATCTTTTTAAAAAAAGGAAATTTAAAAAAACCTTTTAAATCATTTTAAGGATTTTATTTAAAAGTCCGAGCCGACTTGTATAGCTCTAATCTATTTGATCTTTATAAATCTTCTTAGGTTACTATTGGGCCAAATATCATGTATTATTGGGAAATTTGAAGGCAGCTTAAATTAATTATAAAGATAAAATATAATTTACTCGTTTGATGCCTAATTGTTGTGAAGATATAGAGAAACAAAAAAAGCAGGCGTTTTGTCTACATTAAAAAAAAGAATCTTCAATAGTAGATACCTGTCAACATTGTTCTAGCAACAACATAGGCGTAGCCAGGATTTTCATAAGGGGGGGGGGGAATTAAAAAATTACTGGGGACTTCGCCCCCAGCTTTTGGACGGGCTTTCGGCACGCTTTCCCCCGGCCTTCGGCCGGGTTACTTTAGTCTATATATAGTCATAAATTATTTTTACAAATTTTAATAAAAAAAATAAGCCTGGAACAAATATGAAATATATTTTTATTAGTTTATATAAAATAAAAATATAATAAATTACTTGTATTGTATATACCTTAATATAAGAGCATGGTAATCATTTATTCCAAACAATTATAAGAAATTTATTTATAAAAAGTAAGTAGTATATAATTTTACTCTATTATATAGAATTAGTTATAAAATACTAGGTAAAATTCCATTTTTACAGACATATTTGACAGTTAGAGAATATATTACAGTTAATAATTTAACAAATTTTACTAATCAATGCTCTTGTTTATAGCAACAATTTGCATTCAATTATTTAACACCATCTATTTTATTTAAGTAAAAATGATATTTAAATTTAATCTTCATATTATTCATCCCACAATGTCTTAAGATATTTTCTGATGTCCTTATCAATATTTTATAGTTTTCTGTAAAATATATAATTCGCTATATTGGTAAAAATTACTTGATTGTCATTTGATAATTAGATATACTGTAAATCTACGACATATAATATTCCACTGTTTGTATTGTGCTTTAATATTTTTTTAATTAATGATTTAATTTTATCAATAGTTTTATAATTATATTTTACTTTTATTAAGATAAATAAATTAAAATTACTCACTTTATAAAAAAATTATATTTGATATATTATATTATTTAGTAATTTTATGGATCTATTATTAATAATTATAATACATTTCACTTCTGTCTTAAGATTTATCTTTGGCTTGTATTCCATTTATTAAAAAACATTTTTGGTTCATTTTATATATTTATAAATTTATTTTCCCAAAAATCTATAAATTATGATGAATAGTTTTATAAAAAAAATATCAACTTTTACATTCTTTCTTTCAAATTTTTATTTAAGATATATGCATACATATTTGAGGGTCAGGGAGTGGGGGAGGACTAAGGGGGATATTTTTTATTAGCTAAAAATGATATTTACAAAAAGTGATAAATTTCTGAAGGAGGGGGATTTCCCCTTGTCCCCCCTTCCCTGGCTACGCCTATGAGCAACAATATAATATGCCCAAAACTAAAGTTGTCCGATATATCGAATCGTTTTCGGCTAGGTACCGATAATCATTATTGGTGAGAAAAATTGGATTGGCTCGATATCATTTAAAATCCAACCCAATTTATATATATAATAAAATAAATGGCAATACTATACTTTATCCATGGCATACTCATTTTTTATATAAAAAAAGAACACGTTTTAAAAATCTATTTTCTATTTAATATTTTTGTACATGATATTTCAAATAAAAATATTTTGAATCGATTTTTACATAATTTAAAATAAAATATTTAACACCATCCTAATTATGGGTTAATTCTAAATTAGTTCAATTATAAATTGTTTGCAGTAAGATTAAAATAAATATCATCTTAAAAAATTTTTTAAAAATTGTTTATCTCTAAGCTTTACCTTCTATAACTAAAGAAATAAGCATTTTAGGATAAAAAAAAACGCTTTAGAATACTTATTTTGCAGGAAAGGATAGTAAAGGAATAATCTCTCTATTATTCCATGTTTTACGATAAATTAATATCCGATATTTAGGGTTAAATTTTTAAATAAATCATTATCTCAACTCGATAGATAAATCTAAAAAATATAATTAACCTGTGAACATAACAGTACCAATTTTTACTGGTTGTCCCTTTATAAAAACTTTACATCTATCACCAATATTGATTTTTGCAGCATTTGTATCGCCGGATCCTTTATTGAGATGAGAAGAATCATTTTGAGAAGTTTTATGTTGCATTAAAAAATTTCTCACCGTATCTAAATTCAATATAATAATTTATGAATCTAACAACAGAATATAACATGGCTTCACAATTATATCATATCTTACTACTAGTTATTAAAAAATTATGCACTGAGCTCGGCTCGATATAGCAGGTTAAAATTATTTAATAATTTTCGGAGTTTCACCCTGGTTGTTTACCAGAGTTGTTAAAGTATTAGATATAAAAATGTAGTATCTGTATCTGTATCAAGATAGATTTTTTAGAAAGGTATCTGTATCTAGATATTTTTTTAGAGGTATCTGTATTTGTTTTTAGATACTTTTTAAGATACATTTTATATACCCCTTTTTTTATTATAAATAAAAATATTTGACTGTAAAATTTATTTTATTTCATATGAGCTTATGAAATAAATAAATATATTATATATTAATATTTATTAATACTATAATAAAGAATTATATATACATAAAATATTAAAACTTATATATAAAAAATATATATAAATATTCATTAATTTAAATATTATGTCCTAGTTTATCAATAAACCATACAAATTTTAATATTACAATATGGAAATGGTAAATTTTATTTTATAACTAAATTTTTAAGTTTATATATTTATTTAGATCTATATCGATGAAGAAGAGGAAGCAACAAGTTCTATTGCTTTACCATGGCCAAATTGAGCATATTTTAAAATAATATCTCAAAACAAAGAAAACAATTAATTCTCTGATGGTAAAAGGTTTCCCGTGTCTACCTAAAAATACAAAAATATCCGTCAGTATGACTTCAACGTGCAATATCGTGAAGCACATAAGGGTATAGATATTATATATTTAAAATTCTAATTAAAATTTTAAGAGAAAATATCCAACCTTGTTAACAAAAATAAAAAAGGGGAAGGAAAATAAATTACTAAAGAAAATATTGGCAAGGCTCATCCTCCAATAATATTTTTGCTAAAAGACCTTTGACTTAAACTCAAGGCACTTTAGATGATTTAATTATTGCTTTTATTATAGATGGCATGCAGCCATTATAAAAGAAAACAATTGATACAAAGATTAGCTGGTGAATTATCAAAGTCATCAACTGACTGCAAGCAAATAACCTGCCAAAAAAAAAAATAATTTAATTTCAGATTTTTTTCAGTACCCTACAGCAGATATAATTTCTAAATCAACAAATTTTAAATAACTTTTTCAAAAATAAATGTAGAGATTTTAGCATTTTTAAAGAACTGATATAAAATTGTTATTTATTAAATATAACACTACAATTCCTTCAAGCGCCCCTGTGGAAAGACTATTTAGTGTTGCTAAAAATGTCTTCACAGATAAACGAGGATGCCTAAATGATCAAAATTTTGAAAATATTTTATTACTGAAATCTAATAATTATTTAATCATATATTTTCATATATTATATTAAAATTATAATTTTAGTTATATTCTGATAAATGTTATATCGCGTCAATAAATTTTTAGCTCATTTCATGAATTTTTACAATATAATATTAATTTAGGTTTATGCAAACCTATAAGAGCATAAAAAAATGTATCTATATACAGATACATTTAAAAATTGTATCTGTATCTTGATAACTTTTTAGACGCTGTATCTGTATCTAGATAACTTTTGAGACTATGTATCTGTATCTGTATCTAGATCCAGTTAAAAAGTATCTTTTAACAACTCTGTTGTTTACGAATAACTGATTTTTTAACTTTTAAAATTATCATTTTTCTGAGGGTATACTGTCTAGCATTTCAATTATTTATCTTTTTAATTAATCAGTGTTTCCTTGGGTATTCCTTCTTTACAGAGAATCTTTTATAGAGAATGCAAATATAGAGAAACTTTTATAGAGAAAACAATTATAGAGAATGCCGTTTATAGAGAAACTTTTAAAAAGAAAACAATTATAAAGAATGTCGTTTATAGAGAATGATTTTATAGAGAATATTTTACAGAGAATTGTTTTACAGATAATTATTTTATAGAGAATATTTTACAGATAATTGTTTTAGAGAGAATTATTTTATAGAGAAGGATTTTATAGAGAATTATTTTATAGAGAAGGATTTTATAGAGAATAATTTTATATTGAAGAATTTTATAGAGAATGATTTTATAGAAAATGAATTAAGTATTATTTTAGAAATAAATTTTCTCAAAAAAACAAGCCAGATGCCGTCATATAAATTCTCGGAACTCTTGAATAAAAAAAGGGAAAAAATATTTAAAAAAATATTATTCACGCTGATGAATAATTATGATAATATTTTTGAGTTTCCTGTTGTTATTTTTTTTAAAATACGCCGAACTATTAGAAGTAGTAATGCTAAAATTATGAAAATGTTACCTTCTTTATCAGTTTATATTAGTGCTTTGCCTTAACTAGTAGAGTAGCCATTAAAAAAAAAACTATAGCAACAAAGCCAGCCTTACGCCAATTGTTTTAGAAAATTTTGTCAATATTTAGTTGCTTTGTGCATTATTTTAATCTGCTTGGCCGGCCCCGATTTTTTTAAAATATATTATATATTTTTAATTGCCTAGATAATAATGGTGATTTAAAATATTTGGTTTTAAAATATATGGCCCGGCCCGGGTTTAAAAAAAAGAAGCTTTTTAAGACCCGGCCCGTGTATTTTAAAAAAAATTAAAATAAGGCCCGGGTTTAAGGTCGGGCCTGTAGGTCTCTGATTTATAGTGCGCTTTTATAATTTCCCTAATAAATCTGATTTTACCAATTCCGAAGAAAATCTACCCTGGGAATTTCATACGATTGCGCCAAAATTTTTTTGTATTTATAAATTTATAATGAAAATCTATATAATTTAATAAAAATTATGGAGGCGATAGTTTGATGGGTATTTTGATCTATTTTTTGCATTTTAAATCATAAATTGAGCACATTTTATTAAATTTTAAATCTAATTTTGCCGAAAATGCATTATAATATGTGTAGAATACCCACCCTATAAATTTCAGAAGATTTTATATTGAACCTCTGAAGAAATTTTAATTTACATTAATCTGAAATTTATAAGTAGTGTTAGTAGCCTAAAAATCAGCTAAATATAATTTGGCTTAACCGAAAAATCGCCTAAAACTAATTAGACAAAATGTAGGGACAGGCTAATCGCCCGTCAGCGTTACGCAACACTAAGCCTAGCCTTTATTAAAATTATTTTATATATTTATTGTGTAACGATATATGATGGGCGATTAACCGAGCTCCTTAGCCGATGCCTAATTTTTGAATAATTAGTTTTCGCCTATTTTTATGCTAAGCCTAACTATGCTTAGACAATTTTTTAACCTAAAAACTTGGCTAACCGTTTTGAAATTGCCTAAAATTTACCGACTGCGCAACAATAAGGGTAGGTATTCTACACTTATTCAGGTGCATTTTTGGCAAAATCAGATTTTTAAATTTAATAAAACGCACTCAATTAATGATTTTAAATGCAAATAATAAAAAAAAATAAAACAATACCCATCAAACTATCGCATTACCAAAATTAAGTTTAGTTAAAGGATCACTGTCTAATATTCACATGATAGGCAGGGAAGACCAGGGTGTGGTTGGATCAATTTCTGTCAAAATCGTCATAGGTCCGAAAATAATTGTATCTGAATTTAGAAAATATAAAATGATAGTTCAAACCCTTACCTAAAATTTATACATTGACAAAATTTAAAATAATACACTTTTTTCTCTAAATTGATTTTAGAAAATTTCTTATTACAAGCCTAAACTCCTTAGCAGTGTAGAGAAAGATGAATCAAAAAGTTTAAAATGTTTTTTTATAGGTTTTTTGCACTTGTTTAACATTCCGAAGATCAGACTTTTAATAAAAAGAAATTTTTTATTTACATATTGGGATTATATTTATTGATACCAATTTGTTTAAATATGGTTGGTTCACAGACAAACTTGTATTTCATCATATGATTATAAGAAGCTTTGTATCATGATATACACTGATTTCCATCGCATTGTAATGTCTTTCTTTAGAAAATATCGAAGCTTGACATTTGCAGCAGATTGCACAATATTTTATTAACTCTTTTACACTTAGAAGATATTTCAAATACCTAATTATCAAAAGATTTTGCATCATATATTATAATACTACCCCCTTCTTCCCCCACTCCCCTCATTTCCTATACCACATCAAAATTAGAACAAAGGAATTCCAAATATAAACTACCCATTCTAATTTCAATGCCAATCTTGAGTTATAACCCTTTCCCTGTGGTAAATGGTATTGTTTAACATTGTTTGAATGGTTAAGCGTCTTTTTATTATTGGTAGTCGGTCTATAGATCTGGTTATAAGCAAGTATAATAATCATTAATATTTAAATTTCTTCGTATCATTAGAGCTAATTATTTATTCGAACTTTTCTGTTGGGAGGGGGGGGGGTGGGTGTTTCTTAATAAAAAAATTTTCATGATTAAAGCAATATTTTTATTTTCCAGCATAACATTTTTCATTATCTACGCTTCCTGAGACAGATATCTTACTTTTCTAATATAGACAGATATCTTACTTTTCTTATATATTTTTTATAGGGCCTTGCTTTCTACTGTAAAAAGTGGAATCATAAATGATAAGTTCGCTTCAGCTTGTTTAATTAATTTTAATATCCGTCAATGCTTGCCTTTAAAACTTTTATTTTAAATCTTTCTAAACCTCTTTTAGTCTTGAAGAATACACATTTAAAAAAATATAAAGGCATAGAAAATGTAAAAAAGAGATATTTTCCACCTTTTGATTTTTTAGGGTTGTATCTACTCCTTGAAGTACAACTCACAATGTAAATATTTTATTCCATTAAATTTTCTCATCTTCAGCGATGATAGTAACGTCCAATCACTATTATCGCCACGCTAATAAAATTTATGACATTCATCAGATTAATAAAATATAGCAACTGAACTGAAATATACTATAATTTGTGTTAAAAATAGCTAAGTTATTTTTAATAATATATGAGGCATGTTTAATTC